AGTTTAATACTTTTCTCATAGGTTTAGAGCAAGGGTGTCAAACTTACATCATCACGTGACATATCGGGACTTTTTCCCCCTTCGCTAAATCGGGCATGGGCGTGGTCAGCACATGATGCATCCGGCTCGTGAGCCATGAGTTTGACAGCCCTGGTTTAGAGCATGTAGGTGCCTAAATAGGATTCCATGGGCTGTAACAATCAGTTATGACGCTGGCTATGGTCATAAGCGATCCTGATTATCTTAGTAGCAATACTTCTAGTGTCCATTTAGTGCAGCAGAATACATTTATTCTTCAGCAGCCATAGAAGAGAAGAAAGTCTTGCAAGTGTTCTGCAGACAAGAGAGGACATTGTCTGGGTTCATTAGCTTTCTTAGTAATGAGTTATCATGGCTTCTGAATCAATTAGGTATATAAGTGGAACTTTGTCTAATAGTATATGAATATTTTAAGAATGCTTTTAGATCCTGCCAATTTATTCTTACTGCTATAATTCTGTATTCCTCTTTGTCTTACATCTAATATTTGTTGGTGAAATATTTCTCTAATGTTTTATAATATTAGTGTTACTTGATCCTACCAGTTTCTTGAAATACAAGTCTATTCATCTCAGTGGATTTGAAATATAAAATATAGATCTGATTAGGATTTTAGCATAAATGGTTGGTATTGTATACATTTACCTTGCTATTAATATCTCCTATATTTTCAGAAGAAATTTTTAGTAGTTTTTATTGAAAAATTTTTACATTATTAAAAGATAAACAAAAACAAAAGCATAAAAAAGTAGAAAAAAGAGAAACAGAGAAAGAGAGAGAGAGATGAGAAAGAAAAGTTTAAAAAGCAGCTTCCAGTTTTCTTTTCAGTTACAAAATTTTATTATTTCTGACAGAGGTGGTATTCAGCAGGTTCTGACCAGTTCTGGAGAACCGGTGGAAATTTTGAATAGTTTGAAGAACCAGTAAATACCACCTCTGACTGGCCTCGCCCCCATCTATTCTCTGCCTCCCGAGTCCCAGCTGTCTAACCCATAGAACCGGTAGTAAAAAAATTTAGAACCCACCCCTGAATCAACCTAAATCATACTAGGAAACTAAATATAACAATATAAATCATTTTACAAAGATACAAGTGTAGCGCTACCCCAGGGGTGAAATCCAGCAGGTTCTGACAGGTTCTGGAGAACCGGTAGTGGAAATTTTGAGCAATTCAGAGAACCGGCAGCGGAAATTTTGAGTAGTTCGAAAAACCGGCAAATACCACCTCTCGCTGGCCCCAGAGTGGGATGGGAATGGCGATTTTACAGTATCCTTGCCCTGGAGTGTAGTGGAAATGGAGATTTTACAGTATCCTTCCCCTGCCACACCCACCAAGCCATGCCACACCCACTAAGCCACACCCATAGAACCAGTAGTAAAAAAATTTGAATCCCACCACTGATTTTTGCCCCTTTAGAACTGCATTATATAGTTCCTTTCTTCTATAGACCATTTAAATCAGCAAACCCAGAAGTCTATTTTTGGCAAAAAGTAGTTATTGTTGTCTCCCTAACTAAACAAGTCAATTTTGCCCTCTCTGCAAGTTCTGCCATCTTCACTATCCAATCCCTCCGTTATGGGTACTTCTGTATTTTTCCATATTTGTGTATATAGTAACCTTGTTGCAATTATCATATATAATATCATTCATAAAACCAGGTATCCATAAGTCCTTTCTAATTGTCCTTTCTCACATCCATAAGTCTTAATTTTAAAAAACTCAGTTTTCATCTGAATAATAGTGTTTAAAGTTTGGGGCATATGTATTTATATCCAGTGCTTTTTCATTTTTATGCATGTGTGCCCTACATAATAAAATGTTCCTTTATGCAGGAGTCATAATTTATAGATGTCTCATCAGTGCTCATCCAACAGTGTCAGTCTCAGAAGGGCCTAGATGTTTCTTGCTTCTTCAGTTTCGTGAATCCAGTATATATCGCATAAATTCCCAAGTACCCAGTTGGGCTTCCCTGTAAATTCACGTGCATAACATTGGACCACTAGTTCTTTTGTGTTGTTGCTGGAGCCCTTGCCTGCCATATCATACCTACCGTATTTTCCGGCGTATAAGACGACTTTTTAACACATGAAAATCTTCTTAAAAGTTGGGGGTCGTCTTATATGCCGGGTGTCATTCTCCTGTAACCAGGCAGACCAGCCCGAAAGGCTCTGACGAGCCTTAAATGGCTCTGGCGATCCAAGCTCTGACGATCCCAGCTGAGTTGCCTGCTAATCAGGAAACTCAGCTGGGATCGCCAGAGCCATGTAAAAGGAAAAAAGTTTTCCCCCTCCAGCTTGCTTACCTTAGCTGCTAGTCATAACACTTGCCTTGCTTCGCTTGCCTGAATCCATTCTATCAGCAAGCCACTCCCTGCCTGCAATCAAGCAGGCAGGGAGTTGTGGACTTCAACTCCCAGAATTCCTCAGCCAGCAAAACAAAGCTGGCTGAGGAATTCTGGGAGTTGAAGTCTACAAGTCTTAAAGTTGCCAAGGTTGGAGACCCTTGTTCTATTGGGTAAGTTTTTTTCCCCTTTGGAAGCTTTAAAAAAAATAGTTAATTGGGTTTTTTTTTAGTTGTTCTTTTTTAGACCTAGCCATTTAAAGTTTAGGAAGTTTTAAATTTAGCTTTCATATAAAAATAAAAATAAAATAAAATAAAATAAAATAATATTTGTGCAGTTTTCTGAGATTTAGTGTGTTTCTGTAGTGTTTCACTCTATCTACACAAACACACAAAATCTCACAAAGCTGTATGTGGAATTTTGTGTGTGTAAAGTGTAAAAGTTGGGTTTTTGGGCTTTTTGTGGCTGTGTGAAGTTCCTGCTTGTTGCAGGGGCCATTTTGGGTCTAGCACAGCTGCTTTTACATTGTGGGTGAGCCAGTTGTATTGTGTTGTGTGTGTGTAAAGTGTGAAAGTTGTTTTTTGGGGCTTTTTGTGGCTGTGTGAGGTTTCTGCTTGTTGCAGGGGCCATTTTGGGTCTAGCACAGCTGCTTTTACATTGTGGGTGAGCCAGTTGATGTTTTTTAATTTTTATTTGGTGTGCATTGGAAGAGGGGTAGCCTTATACGGCGAGTATAGCCCAAACCCTATATTTTAACAGGAAAAGTCGGGGGTCGTCTTATATGCCCAGTCGTCTTATACGCCGGAAAATACGGTACCTTGAAATTTTTTTTGCCTCCAAGACTAAAAAAAAGTCTAAAAATAAGATTGGGTAAAATTCTCTGATCTGCTTCCTATGAGGTCAGTACTTATCTAGAGCAGTGTTACTGTTGATTTTCTCTTATATAATTGTTTGACTCTCCATAATGCGAAATAGTTTGTTGTTCAAAAGGCCGTATCTCAAAGAAATGTCAAAGAACCATTTTGTAATTATAAAAGGCAATGGTGTATAACATTGAGATAAATGATTTATGCCAAATAAATGCTTCACTTATGGTCCCGGTAAATTTAACAGCATTGAATAAAACAGGGAGGGGGGAGGGAGGGAGGGAGGGAGGGAGGGAGAGAAGGAAGGAAGGAAGGAAGGAAGGAAGGAAGGAAGGAAGGAAGGAAAGGAGGAAAGGAGGAAGGAAAGGAAAGGAGGAAAGGAGGAAAGGAGGAAGGATCATAGTTACTTGTAAAAGAGTTTTCATAATTAATCTAACAACACATATTCTTCTGAAGATGTAAATAAAGCTTCATTGCATATCAGTTAATTTCTTTTTTTTATTAATGACTGCCCAAATCGAGAAGACATTGGGAAAGAGTAGCTGGCAGTTTGTTCATGCCTTCCATGTCCAGCCACAAGGCAAAGACTAGTTAGTTTGTAACAGTGATTAATAGCCACATTGGGACAAAGAATCAAAGGAACAGAATGGAGTAAAGTCAGGTGAAAATTTAGAACAGAAAATATTATGTTATGTAGTCAAATAATGTTCATTTTTTATAGCCAATTTCTTTTTGGAGGAGAATACGTCTTATATGATCTCTCATATGTCTTGTTCATTATGTTTAAAAAAGTTACTAATAAGTAAATTATGGGGTTAGACAGACAGTATCAGATACATAAAAGTAGTTGAAATATACAAAATTCATTAGTGATAGATTGTATAAACTTCCAAGTCAAACAGTGACAGTTTTCAACTTTTTTGTATCAATATTCTCTACAATCCTATTTTACACTAGTCTTTTTCTTCCTGCTATTTTTTCTGAGATGATAATCTGAAGACTATTCTGGCAGAGAATTACAGAACATTAATTCAACACATCTAGACAGCATCACTGGAAGAATTGATCCAAATATTGAAGTGAAGTGTTGCATTGTTTGGCCAGAAGTTAGCCTTGATTGTTTAATATCGAAACTACTCCAACAATAAAGGGGAAACAGTATAAAATTCACAATGAGGGAAAACCCAAGCCAGAATAATTTGTATTACATGTTTAATATTTAGCATATGTATTACAGTATTGCAAAATATGGTTTCGTATCTCTGTTCATATAGCTCATGTACAGTGAGCTTAGCATATTCATATTATATATTTAATAGAATATTTTCAATACTTTAGGATTGGAAAATTCCCCAACCCATTATTACAAAATACTAGCATTTTGATCCAGTATTGAAATCATTTTCAATACTATATTGCAGAAATCATTTTCCATTTATCAAAATGATCCTTGAAGAGGATCAGATTTTGATATTTCTACAGATTTAAAATCTCAATTAAAATAAAATGAGAGCCACCTCACACAATATCATGTATTTTAAGCTTAGGGGTCTTCAATCCATAATAAGATTGTGTGCCCAAAAGTATTTTCATAATAAAAGCAGGAATTTGACAAAAAAAAAATGCTGACTGATATGACTTCTTTAGTTTTAACAATGTGAATAACAATGCATGCCTTATCACTTTGCATATTGTAGTTTTACTAAATTTATTATTAGATAAAATGATTATAATTGTCTTTGCTTTTTTGTAGGTCAATGCACAAACTGACCCAACTGGAGAGGCTTGACCTGGGTAATAATGAATTTTCTGAGCTGGTAAGGAACATTTGTTCAAAAACAAACAAAACTATCATTCTAAAAGAAGCAGTCATTTAATATACAAATCCTCAGTCTAATGATCCATATCATTATGCTCTTTAAGGCAAATTTGCTCCTTTGAGAAAAAAAGTTGCTACACTATTTAATTTCCTCTATATGTTGAACAAAGTTCTGTTCTACGTAGATGATTTAAAAAACAGCTATGGAGTGATAATGGATCTATTTCTGTCTGTGATCCTTTTTTTAGAAGAGAGTAGGAGAGTCAGAAATATAACTAGTTATTTGTTTATTGTACCTAGTGCTGTAAATTTTGTGAGCTAATGTGGGAAAGTGCAGATAGTGATCTTGCTTTAAAAGAAAGTAACATAAAAATTACTAAAATAAAGGCTTATAAAGGCGTGGTAAGAAATGTGTGAGCCAGGAAGTGGTTATGCTCCCTGGCCGGAGAGGGTTGCACGTTCACTCCAGCAAAGGTTTGTGCAACCCTCTCTGGCCAGGGAGCATAACCACTTCCTGGCCAGCGCACCTCTTACTGCTGCCATTTTCCCACCGGTAGATCTCCATGAGGAGAAGCTGCACTCTCCTCCAGTCCTCCTGGGCTGGCTCGCCTCCCCGCTGGCAGCTTCTCCTTCTCCTGGCTGCTCCAGGAGCAGCCTGTCTGTTACCCGGTGAGAACAGCCTGCCATCCCAGCCTGCCCCGCCCTCTCTGCCCCGGCAGTTGCTCCTGGTGCTGTCGGAGAAGCAGCAGCACAAGAACCGCTCTTGCTGGGGGCAAGGGGGTGGCGGCGGCAGGAGCAGCAGGCCAGGGCTTCCCTCCCTCCCTCCCTCCCTCCCTCCAGAGGCCTGGGGCTATCTTTAGCTTCGCTCAGCCAATGTTGGAGGCACGGGGCCCGGCGGATCCCCGGGTGAGGGATGGAAGGAAGGAGGGCTGATTGGCTGACAAAAGTGTCCATGGAGGAACCGAGGACATGCCTATCCCCGACCCTGCTTAGCGCCTTTCTTCTTCCTAAAACCAGGGACCACTCCGCTCTTGCAAGGGGCAGGAACTTCCATCCCGCTCCCTCCGTCGGGACTGAGGAAGATGCACCAAGCTTCTCTTCAAGGGGTTGTAAAGGGGGGGAAGAAGGGCGGCTGACAGAAAGAGTGCCTTGGGGGTAGGCATAGGATGTGGGGGTTTGCCTCAGCGCCTCAACACCCCTCGGCTTCTGCAGGCGCCACCACCGGCCCCAGACAAGTGCCTCCGTCTTTGCGGCTGCAGAGCTTGGGAGGGGAGGCCGGCTGGGGTTTTCATTCGACGCCCACCAGGGGCTGAGTGAGCCTTCTTTCAGTGCACAAACTTGGGGCAGCAGATAAAAGCCGGGCTAGGGGTTCCGGCGCTGCTTTGATGGAGCCAGGTAAACTGAGGGGAGGAAGGAGAAGGAACTGATGGGCAGGCTAGGGTAGTTCATTTTCCCCTCAGCGGGGCTTCCCTGTTGGAGCAGCAGGAGGAGAAGGAGGAGGAAGCGGTGGGAGAGGTTTTGCTGGCTGCCCAGCCGGGACCCAGAGGCAGCAGCTGTAATAGGGCACTGGGTACGCGGAGGGGGGCGAAAGAAGGGTAGGCAATTAAATGTCTTGTGAGTGTATCTATGGATGTTTTTTGCATTTTTTTCTGCAACCTCTTAAGGTTGTAGAAAAAATGCTTTTAAAAGTAAAAAAAAAAAAAAGTTGGCCATGCCCACCCAGTCATATTACCCCCCACAAGCCATGCCCACAAAATAAGCCACGCCCACAGAACCGGTAGTAAAAAAATTTAGAACCCACCCCTGAATTAACCTAAATCATACTAGGAAACTAAATATAACAATATAAATCATTTTACAAAGATACAAGTGTAGCGCTACCCCAGGGGTGAAATCCAGCAGGTTCTGACAGGTTCTGGAGAACCGGTAGTGGAAATTTTGAGCAATTCGGAGAACTGGCAGCGGAAATTTTGAGTAGTTCAGAAAACCAGCAAATACCACCTCTGGCTGGCCCCAGAGTGGGATGGGAATGGGGATTTTGCAGTATCTTTCTCCTGGAGTGGGGTGGGAATGGAGATTTTGCAGTATCCTTCCCTGCCAAGCCCACAAAGCCACACCATGCCCACCAAGCCACACCTACAGAACCAGCTGTAAAAAAAATGGATTTCACCACTGCGCTACCCCCGAAAGGGCCACTAGAGTCCGGGTTCTTCTGGCCCTCTTGGTATAGCTGCCGGTATAGCTGAGGCTCCTCTACTGGCCTGGGTCATGTAGTGTCGTGGTGATCAATCTCCTCTCAGCAGGCAGGTCAAGTGGTGGGATGATGGTCAGTCTTTCCCAGCCGGTGGGTCACGTGATGAGATGGTATTCATGTGGCTGGTTGGCCCTTCTTTCTCTCTCTCTCTCTCTCCTCTCTCCCTGTCTTGAATTGCCTGCTGAGCTCTCCTTCAACCGCTTCTGCTCCTTTGTGGATTCCTCTGCTTGCCCTCCAGAAGCCTTTCCTTTCCTATTCCCTTCTCTCTCTCAGGCTTGGCCCACAGAAGTCTCTTCTATCCTACCTCCTTCTCTCCCTCAGGCTTGCCCCAGAGAAGCCTCTCCTCTCCTATCCCCTTCTCTCCCTCAGGCTTGCCCCACAGAAGCCTCTCCTATCTTATCCACTTTTCTTTTTCAGGCTTGCCCCACAGAAGCCTGAAGTCTCTTTCTCACGCTCTCTTTCTCTCTCTCTCCCACTCTTTCTCTCTCATTCTCTCTTCCCCTCTTTCTCTCTCTCTCTCTCCCCCACTCTCTCTCTCTCATTCTCTCTTTTTCTCTCTCCCCCTCTCTCTTTCTCATTCTCTTACTCGCTTTCTCTCCCACTCTTTCTCTCTCATTCTCTTTCTCTCTCTCTCCCACTCTTTCTTTCTCATTCTCTTTCTCTCTCCCCCTCTTTCTCTCTCTCTCTTTCCCCCATTCTCTCTCTCTCATTCTCTCTTTCTCTGTCTCTCCCCTCTCTCTTTCTCTTTCTTTCTCTCTCTCCCACTCTTTCTCTCTCATTATTTCTTTCTTTCTCTCTACCCCCCACTTTCTCTCTCCCCCTCTTTCTCTCTCCCCTCTTTCTCTCTCTTTCTCTCTCCTACCTTTCTCTCTCTCTCTCCCCCACTCTCTCTCTCTCATTCTGATTCTCATTCTGATCCTCTCTCTCTCTCTCTCTCTCTCTCTCTCATTCTCTCTCTGATTCTCTCTCTTTCATTCTTTGTCTCTTTCTCTGTCTCTCATTCTCTCTCTCTCTCTCACTCTGTCTCTGATTCTCTCTGTCTCTTTTTTCTCTCTCTCATTCTCCTCTCATTCTCTCTTTCATTCTGTCTTTCCCTTTCATTCTTTGTCTCTTTTCTCTGTCTCTTTTTTTCTCTCTCTCATTCTCCTCTTCATTCTCTCTTTCATTCTGTCTTTCCCTTTCATTCTTTGTCTCTTTCTCTCTGTGTCTCATTCTGTTTCTCTCTCTCTTTCATTCTTTGTCTCTTTCTCTTTCTGTCTCATTCTGATTCTCTCTCTCTCTCTCTCCCTCCCTCCCTCTCTCTCTCTCTCTCTCTCATTGTCTCTCTCTCTCCCATCTCATGGACCAGCCAGTGTCTTGGGGCTGAGAGGAAGTCAAGCGTCTCCCTGAGAGACCGAGGTGCACGGAGCACCAACAAGGGCCGGAAGAAGTGTGGGAGTGAAGCACTACTTGAACTTGCATGGCATGAGCATTCGCCTTGGTATATTTGTGCCAGCCAGTGGCACAAGGCGGCCCTCATCTCCTGCCACTTGGGATTCGGAGCGGTAAATGGTGACTGGTCCGGGGAGCAGCCGGATTTTGCTCTCCATTGTGGATGCCAGATCGGCCCCCTGCAAGCTCGTCTCTCGAGGAGCGCTCCCTGAAGCGGCGCTGGAAACTTTGGTGAGGTTCCTCGAGAGACGAGAGCTTGCAGGGGGGCGATCTGGTGTCTGCAATGGAGAGCAAAACCGGGCTTCTTCTCTCCGCTGTAAGTGCGGCATCAGGATTCTGCCTTGGTATATTTGCGGCACAAGACAGCCCTCATCTCCTGCTGCTTGGGACTTGGAGCGTAAATGGTGACTGGTCCAGAGAGCAGCCGGATTTTGTTCTCCATTGCGGATGCCAGATCGGCCCCCTGCAAGCTCTCATCTCTTGAGGAGCGCTCCCTGAAGTGGCGCTGGAAACTTTGGTCGGGCTCCTCGAGAGATGAGAGCTTGCAGGGGGCCGATCTGGCATCCGCAATGGAGACCAAAATTCCGCTGCTTCCCGAACCAGATGCTGTTTACCACTCCAAGTCCCAAGCGGCAGGAAATGAGGGCTGCCTTGTGCCACAAATATACCAAGGCGGAATCCTGATTCCGCACTTACAGCAGAGAGAAGAAGCCCAATTTTGCTCTCCATTGCAGACACCAGATCGGCCCCCTGCAAGCTCTCGTCTCTCGAGCAGCCCGACCAAAGTTTCCAGCGCCACTTCAGGGAGCGTTCCTCAAGAGACGAGAGCTTGCAGGGGGCCGATCTGGTGTCCGCAATAGACAGCAAAATCTGGCTGCTTTCCAGACCAGATGCCATTTACTGTTCCGAATCCCAAGTGGCAGGAGACGAGGGCTGCCTTGCACCACTGGCTGGCACAAATATACCGAGGCGGAATGCTGTTGCCGTGCAAATGAAAGTAGTGCTTCGCTCCCACAGCTTCCAGCCATCGCAAACGCTGCTTCTTCCTGCTTGTGCTGTCCCCTCCCCCACCGCCACAACAGCACTATTCATTCCAGACGGCAAGAGCTGCGCTCCTTTTTCCGTATTGCACCACCTGCAAAAATGCAAAAATACAAAAATTTCTCTGCAGACCACTGGTTGGTGACCACTGGATTAAACCATTCATAAATCAAAATATGAATTTCAATAATATTTAATGTAATAATCACTTAAGACTGTATGTTTATGTAAAAGCTGTTTTTTTGCAGCCTGAAGTTCTGGAACAAATACAAAACCTAAAAGAATTATGGATGGACAACAATTCACTTCAAACATTACCTGGGGTATGGCTGTATATACATATATGTATATATGAAGTATATAATGTTGCAGAATTGTATAATAAATATATTTTGGAAGTGCAGATCATTTTTCTTTACTGAAGTTATTTTGATATTGCCTTCACTGAAAAAGTTCGTAAAAATTCAGGGAAATATTGACATGCATCTGCCTTAAAAATAGCCTATGTTGAACTGTGTAGCACAGTCAAACATCAGAAGTTGACCACAGGAATTTTTTGTGACATTTTTATTATATCATAAAATATTTAATGACTTTTATTTTACAAAATATTTTATAGAATTTGTCCAATTTCTATTCCATCAGAATCTGATTTTGGACGCATTCTATAGTTTAGCCTATTTGAGGTACCTTGGTTTAAAAATTATTGCTCTACGATAGACCATTTCACCCAGTTAAAGGTTATACACAGACAAACAGGAGACTTTCAATAATATATAGATTTAACAATAAAAGTACATAAATCCAAAGGAAAAAGAAAGAAACACTCATATGAAAACAAAGAGTAATTAATAAAAGAATAGATCAGCATAAAAGAATAAATCAACTTAAAAGGAGAAGCAAATTACCAAAATTATTAGACCGGTAACTATGGCAATTGAAAATCAAATAAATCTTTATTAGGTTCATAAAACCAAAATAATGTCAACTGCAACAGATTTAGTGATGTTTCTGGAGATATTTAACTAAGATGAGGCAAATAATCTCCAAATTAGCATGAGTTCAGATTAAGAATTGTTATTAAGCTTGCATGCTGTTCAAAAGGGACAACATGAAGAGCACATGACAAATTGTTTATTTTCTCTCTGAGTAAGGACTCCCTGAGTAAGGACAGGAAAATTACGACCTTGTTTTTGTAACAAGATCAATATCACTATATAGCAGTAGAAAATAAAAGCCGTCCTGTGAGCTGGGTTCACAGGATATATTTAGTATAAGAGAGCAGTCTCCCATAGAAAGGCAATACAAACAAAGTTGGAGCTTTAATTAAATCGTGCTGGATGTCCCTGTCAAAAGTCCATCGTTTCAGATGAGACCTGGTTTTCCAGATTTAAATAATGAACTTATTGTATTATTTTGAGTCTGCAACAGTTACTGCCTCCTGTAAGGACACAACATTGTATTGCGGTATCAAAGAGACCAGGATGTTTACCAAAATGTGTACCTTAATCCAGTATAAAGGTATACTCATATAAATAGACTATGTGTTTGGTGACTTTCGGTATCATAGAAGTGCATGCAGCATGCCTGTTCTAATATATCCCCCATATTGGCTAGAAGGGCCTTTGCACAACTTTGTATTGTATGCCACTTGTGCCTATTCCTAGGCTGAGAAGCTCTACTCACGGTCACTCATGCTCTGGTTACCTCCTAATTCAACTACTGCAATGCGCTGTATAGGGGATGCTCATATGGATATTACACAAAATGTTCAAAGCTTAATAATTATAGTTTCAGTCAAAATATTAGAAACTAATATATTTTGGTTGTTCTTGGTTTTTCCATTTAAACTGATCAATGAGACATCAAGACAGTTTACTTTTGCTTCAATAAATTGCCTGTTCATTACTTTTTAAGTTTGTAGTGTATTACTGTATTAAATATTAGTAACTGCAATGAATAGTTGAATCAACTAACTTATTCTTATGTAATCTTATCAAGTCTATAGGACGATTAAAACAACTGATATACTTGGATATGTCAAAAAATAGGATAGAAAGTATAGATCTGGACATATCAGGATGTGAAGCCCTTGAAGATCTACTATTGTCATCAAATATGCTACAACAACTGCCAGATTCTATAGGTATTGACTGAATAATGACTACTCTGGAATTGGGTTTGGGTTGTAATAGATGAAATTCATTTAGATTCTTCTCAATAGTAACAGAAAAAAACCAGTAAGCATAAGTTATTAGCAACTTTAACTTGAAAATTATATACTGCTCTTACATTAAGTTAAAGAACACAAATGAAAGTTATGTCATCCTTCAAATTTTAAAGAAATGCATTTCATTAAATTGCTCATTATAATCTTACAATGGATATAGTAATTTCGTTTAGAAGATGTCATCAAGAATAATTATTGATGTAAAATTAACATCTTCAGATATAAGTTTCAAAGTGCATTTTAAAAAGCGTAGTGTAGGAATTAAATGGGATGTCAATCCATTTTGATTGGGAGCAGCAAAAATCGATGTATCTTTGGAAAAGTAGTGTGTTTATCTATGGAAAAGAACACTTTCAGTTGATTTAGCAGATTCTCTCTGTGTGTTTCTCTCTCTCTTTCAGTCCTGTTATTTCAAGTCACTTCTGTTCAGAAATCTTTTAATAGGCATCATAACATAGTACTCAGAACTACCAAACAACAAAAGCTGTACTTTGCATTGCAAAACAAATGATGTATATGCTTGCACTATCCCTTTATTCCAGGGGTGACAAACTGGATTTCTTCGAAGGCTGGATCAGCATTGTAGTTGTTCTCCGTGGGCCGGCTGGGAAAGAGATGGGACACATCCCCCACTGTGCCCCATTTTTGCACTGGACAGCCTCCTGCAGCACCCTGCTGGCCAAAACGGGGCACAGGGAGGCTGCACGCAGCCCTCCTGTGCCCTGTTTTCACTAGCAGAGGCACTAGTCCTTTGCTATTTCCAGGCCAGTCCCATAGGCCAGATCTAAGCACCCCGTGGGCCAGATCTGACCCGCGGGCCTTGAGTTTGACACCCCTGCTTTATTCTGTCTCTTAACCAGTGTTAAGAAACATTAACCAACTATTTAACAACCATTCTCTTTCTCTCTTTTCTTTCTCTCTGTCTCCTCTCTCCTGTCCTCTCTCAGGGCTCTTGAAAAGACTTACCACTTTGAAAGTAGATGACAATCAACTTACAGTTCTGCCCAATGCTATCGGAAAGTAAGTGGAAAATATTTTAAAACTTTTCATTTGGTTATATCTTAACAAAAAGAAAACACTTATTTCCTTTTCTTCCTTTACTTTTTTCTGCAGCATAATTTCTTTCTTGGTATTTTTGAGTTTTGAGTTATTTCAGTCTTCACTGTATTGTTGGGCTCCATTATACCTTGGATTCATCAAGCATTCAAAAATTGTTCTATATTATCCGTAGGAATGTCAAAACCAAAGTTACTAAAACTCTATAGATAATGTAGTTCAATTCATCTAAGTTCTATTTGTGTAATAGAAATTACATTATTATTACATTATTATGTAATAGGTGTAATAGTGTAATAATTATTACATTAATAATAATATATAATAATATAATAATAATTACAATAATGGAATAATTACATTATTGTGTAATAGAACAGCAAGTAGACTACAAGACTGCCAAGATCCCTTCCAGCTCTATTCTGATTAATCATTTTGGTTCATCTTTTCCACCAGATGGGAAAGCAGATGAGAAAGCATTTCCCACTGGCATGGCCTTTTCTTTTAGTAATACTTAGACATCATTCTCCACGGGAGTATACTCTTTATCAAAAGTGGGTATTAATTCTATTTTCCTAATTGTTGTTCTTTGTTATACAATATTTGCTTCTCCTTTTATAACTTTTATAATCTGCTCTTACTCATTATTTCCTTATGGAAAATAAACTCTTGGATGACATGAGTCATGTCCAGTGAGCTCTTGGTACAGATTTCCTGCTAAAAAGTTGATTGCCTAACTTTAGAAGTTCAACCTATGGTTCTGTGCAAGACCAAAAGCCCCATAAAAGTCCCTATATAAGAAACTACTTGAGAAAATCAAGTCAAACGATCTTGCTTTTCTTTTTAAAATATTGATTTATTTCAGTTGATGAAGAGATAAGTATATTAAACTTTTCCAGCCTTTTAACCTTTGAATATGTCTGCTTCTGAAACAATGTTAAAATTAACAATTTTCATAGAATAACAACAACAGAAAATATTTCACTACAGTATGGTTGGCTTTCGTTTTGCATGCTGTGAACATCCAACCATTGTAGTTTCTAGATCAGGGTTATATTGTTTGTTAATGTTTAAATTACATCAATTGATATGAAGTCAAAAACAGCAAATATCAGGATCCAAGGAGCAATATATTTTAAACCTGTATCTGGTTTTGGTCCCATTGTTTTAAACAAACATCTGGACTATTTTTAATATTGTAATATTTTTAAATAAAATTTTGCCATCTGCTTTACTGAATAGAAACTGATAATATGTTTTATTTGTTTAGAGTGTAAATTACTTAACAAAAGTTTAAAAGGGTAGAAAAATAGGAGAGAGGGTACTGTGCACACCACATTGAGCCCCCAGAGAAAACTAACATATACTTCTAATGAATTAATAAACTAAAAATCAATATCAATGTAGTAGGCAACTTATGCAGTTGTATTAAGTTATAAAATTAGCATTTTTAGGTGTTAGCAGAAATATAGTGAGAATCAAGAGAAACGTGCATATGTATACAATATATATGGGTTTATTGATCAAATTGCTGCGATAGAAAAGTCTTATTTCTCTTTCTTTCTCATGTTGATTATGTTTTGCGAAGTGCCAAATTTATATCATAGAGCCCTTACTTTTGACTGGGCATAAATTATTTCCTGAATCATTTATTTTCAGTGATATAACTGGCAACTACTTATGACCACAAGTAAGCCCCAAATTTCTGTTGCTAAGTGAAACATTTGTTAAATGAGTTTTGTCCCATTTTATGACGTTTCTTACCACAGTTGGTGCATAAATCACTACAATCAGTAACATGTTTGTTAAGTGAATCTGGTTTCCCCATTGATTTTGCTTGTCAGAAAGATGTAGAAGCTGATCACATGACCCAAGGCACTGAAACTGTCATAAATATGAGTCAGCTGCCAAGCATCTAAATTTTGATCACCTGATCTTGGGGATGCCACAATGGTCAAAAGTGTAAAAAACGGTCATAAGTCACTTTTTAGTGTCGTAACTTCAAATGGTCACTAAATGAATTATTGTAAATCAAGGACTACCTGGACTGAACCCTTTTTGATATTTTCAATTAGACATGTATACCTCAAGTGATCATAACTTTTATCCCTGCAAAGGATGACAACCACATAAGTAGTACTAAAAACATTTATAACACCAAATCAGTTGTATTTGATTCACCTAAGAGTATTTTCCAGTTTTTTCATTTAAAAAACACTTGCATGTTTTAAAGCAAAACATAAACAGTATTTCAGATGAAATCAACTCATTTCCATCTACTGTCTCTCATTATTATGAATTCACACACAGGATATATTTTCATGGAGTTCTGCTTGATGAAGCTATCTCACCTACTGTATTTAGCACAGAATATATGATTTTGCATAGAACGTCTGGATGGAAGTCATAGAAGAACCCACTTGGTTATAGTAGGATCTTACACACTTCAGACATTCCCCTTTCTTCTCCATTAATCAACATATCAACTGCAAGCTGCTAGGCTTAGAAATAATCTAATTCTTTACAAATATTTTTGTGATTGTTATAAAACCAACAAATGATTTTGAAGCTCTCATTAAAAATCTTCTTAGAAAGTGATTTGGTATAGTATCATGCCGTTCCTTTTTGTGGGATAGAGACAAATCTTTTTATTGTGAGAAAGGCATAATTGGTGGAAATGAGCTCAGCATGAACTAGCCTGTGGCTAATCATGTTGCTAATTCCAGATAAATGACAGTTTTGAACATGGTTAGAGTATCAGCTCAAAGTCTGGAACTAGTAGGTCTGCCTGCTTAAATGGTAATTAGCTAGACTCTCCTGCTGCTAATGGCTCCCTTCATCTTTGCAATGATATGTAAGATTTTTTTTCCTTTGCAAAGTATGTTACACATAGGAGGACATTTTGATGGATATAAATCTGAATTTGATTGGTGTGGAAAGAATCACAAGATCTTTTTAAAAGTTCAAGATTTGCTTTTTGAGCTCTTTCTCTGTTGCTTAAAACACAACATAGGGAGCAATATTAGGTTATTTCCACATCTAATAAGTCTTCACAGAAAGGAAATATAATATAAGATAGCTAATGTAGATAATATTTCTCAATAAACCTATGCTATTCAGTTAAAACATTTATACAAAATGATAGTGGTAACAATACTATGTAAAAGGCTAAACTCTTTTCTGACATGATAATTTTCTTAGTGCAAAACGTTTTATGTGTAAAACATTAACAAAATGCATTATATCTGGGTGATGCATTTTTATGATTCTTATGAATATTAATGGTCCTTGCATTTTATTATTATAAACAAAAGATATAAATTGAACTTCTCCTGAAAGAAGTTTTATTTGGATCAAATAAATAATAGTGGGGAGAATAATTATTTATCTGTAATCTACTAAAATCATGACCATGGAAACATCTTCAGACACCTCTGGCTCAATGACTTTGAAACAGAGATGAGCACCATCCTGTATAGTTGGCTACAACTAGCAGAGTAAAATCCGCAGGGACTCTTTTACCTTTACATAATCTACTAAAATAAGCCTATTATTATACTCTGGGGAAAAAGAACAATAAAAATGTTCTATAAGCCTATTCAAGTTGTCTATAAATGATAGTCAATTCTTCCAATTGCAGCTTAATATACAAATGATTAAAATTAAATAATATATTATTATATTACAGTTCTGTTAAGCTTGCAATCTTCCCAATTTTTCCCATGTTAAAGGCCAGCTCTTCTTATAAAATATTTGGACATTATTGAAGAATTTATAAATTGTATTATCTCTGACAAATCATACTTATCTATTCCTGGTCTCATGTTTCAGTGGTAGCATCCAAAGCCAATACATGCAACAGACAGCGTGGAATATTATGGATTATAAATTGAATTTAATGTCTGTTCAAGTGTCCATAATAAATTATATGCAGCATCTCATAAAAGCAATCTGTGAATGCATTCTCACATTAGTACTTGTAAGAAATCTTCCATTTCTAACACAAATCTGTTTCGGATAATATTCAGCAAACTGCTGACATAAAATACAGTTAATCATGTTTAATACAGTTAAACATCTATAAGGGCCACATTAGGAATTACATCATGGCAAGGAGAGCAGCAAAACATGATTATTTTTTCCATTCTTATTGCATCAGGGAGTAGTGACTTGTTCAGAATGAAACACTCTGTTGAGGACGGAGGAGTCATAGGAATAACCTCAAGGCCACTATGAGGAATATTCCAGGCACTTCTCATATAAAGTTGCTCGAATCTACTCAGAGTTAGACTCTGCCTGGACAAGTCCGTTTGAATTGACTAAGGCATTGTTTTGTTCTGTTAACTGATAGATGTTTGACCCTGTAAATCCTGAGGAGATAGACAAGATATTTGGTGCAATTAACGTGGCCACCTATCCTTTAAATTCATGACCCACCTGATTATTTAAAGCTGTCCAGATAGTGACAAGTGGCTGGGCCATGTGGTAATGAATGCATCCTTGAGTAAGGGAATGGCTCATCCCTCTCCTCAAGAAGCCATCGCTTGTCAGAACAATTTCTCTTATCATCTTGTTAAATTTTCAGCTTATAAGAACCAAGATGAAGTGAATAATCTAGACCATTTTTTAAAATCAGGATTCAGACCAGAATATAGTATGGAGTTGGCATTGATCACCCTTATTAATGACCTATGGCAGAGCTGGGATAGTGATGGTGCAATTGTTCTCCGCAGCTGAGAACAGCAGCAACTGATCATGTTATCTTTCTGGACAAAATGTAGGCAAAGGAAGGAGGAGAGGAGGCAGAGGGACAGGCACAATGTTGTTCTCAATCTTTTTCCACAGCCAGTTCCAGTTGTATTGGGATGGGGAGAGGGAAAAAAGAGATTGAGCCAGAGAGTCCTGTTTATCATCTACATTTAATCACTGGGTGAAATCATCAGTCAACAGAGGATTAGATATCAGTATGCTTGATCAATTCGCTTGGGTTCTACATCTCAACTCCTACCTGACTAAGAAATGTTCAAGAGGTCTTGTTTTTACATAAACGTTATTTTGACAAAGAATTTTGTTAGAAGTTTGAAATCTCCTCTATCTGTATAGCCAGCCAGCAAACCTATCTATCTGACATCCTTTCTTCCTGGTCACTGAACTATGACTTCTCATATTTCAGTAAAGGAAGACATTTTTGCAAGGATCTTTTAAAGAGATGAAGTGATCTTTCCACTAAATGTTCAGAGAAATTTCTGAAGACAGCTAAAATACATCATTCTACACTCATGAATCAAGAGATTTAAAATATTTAAGCAATACTTAAGACCTGTTTGGTCTTAGAATGTCAAGTTTCTCTGAACAGGATTTAATAAGAATAATTGATTTTAAAGTAATGAGGAACCATAATAGATAATTTTGTTATTTCATTAATGATATAATAATATATCATTAATATATTAATGTATAGGTTTTTTTTATTAATTTAACTTCAAAACAAATGATTTCAATATTGTATAAATGAATAATTAATTTTCAGACTGGAGAATTATAGAGTTTTTTTCTATAAGATTACATGCAATGTTTAGAGTTTATTACCATGAATGTCATCAGAAACCCAGAATTTCTCTCCTGTAATAGTTCCAGCTTTATTTATTTCAGGCCATAATGACAATTATAAAGGAATATCACATCTTTTAGCATGCTGTAGAGACAATGAATCATGATTGTTCTGCCAGGTGGTCTGTTAAAGTACAATGCTTATGGCTGGATTAGCTTCTGTCAGTGCAAGCATAAAGTGGATCTCAGCTAATTTGTCTGAATGTTAGCTTTCAAAACAATTGCTTTCCCCGGTTTGAATGACAGCTTGGCAGCACAAACAATAAAATCAAAAACCTAACTGAGCCTTCAGCTGTTCTCTTTGCAATCTAGTTCACTAATCACCACATAGCTTTAAAAGGGATGATAGATTTCAGCCTTTCATGCAAGTTGAGTAGCTACTTGCAAAAAATATATATATGGGGAACTAAATAGGTTATTGGTTATAGATAAATTGTTTTAGATTTCTTAGCCTAAGGAATTTTAAAGAAAACAAAAGAATTGAGGGTTTAAAGGATGCTCATACTTTTCCATGAGTCCAGGCAGTTCGTGAAAAAGAAATTTGGAATCTGGCCATCTGTAAAACATATTATTACAGACTGTGAGATGTCTTTCCGCCTACATTTCATAACTGGTAACCAAGAATATTCCTGTTAAATAATAATTGCTCTTTGCCCCAAATCTTCCCTTAGATTATTCAGAGATGATTTAGATATTTGTAAAGAGTCAAATAAAGACATTGAAGGTAATCCAGTAAAATTGTTGAAGTTCTAATTTAGACAACAATATAATGTACTTAATCAAACAACTTCAAATTCATATTTTGATATATGTGCATTAATTTTACAATAACTACAGGTAGTCCTTGACTTATGACCTCAGTTGAGCCCAAATTTCTGTTGCTAAGTGAGACATTTGCTAAGTGAGTTTTACAATCTTTTTGCCACATTTGTTAAGTGAATCACTTAACAAATTAGTAACATGTTTAGTTAGTAACATGTTTGTTAAGTGAATCTGGCTTCCCCATTGACTTGGTTTGTCAGAAGGTCTCAAAAGGTGATCAGTGACCACAGGACACTGCAACCGTCATACGTATGAGTCAATTGTTAAGCATCTGAATTTTGATGACAAGACCATGGAAATGCTGCAATGGTTGTAAATGAGAAAAATGGTCATAAGTCATTTTTTTCAATGACATTGTAACTTTGAGTGGTCATTAAATGAACTGTTGTAAGTCAAGGACTACCTGTAATCATATCACCAAATACTTTTAGCAGCAATTGTTTTTCACTGTATTTCTTTTTCCGATTCAAGGTCTATATAGAATATTACCTATCAGTCTGAAAACAAATCATTCCTACAAATGATAAAATTTCCCTTGAATGCCTCATTTACAAGGGCTGATGCAAGTAACATAACTTTAATTGTGAATTTTTATTCTTTATGGTCATTAAGAGAATCAAAATGGGAAGATATATTGTATAAAGTTTTATTTTATTAAATAGTCTGTTTTAGTGCAGTTGGAATTAAGAAACGATTATGAACAAACAATAGTGCCTAAGGAAAATATAGGGTTCAAGTAATAGCAACAAACAAATCATTAAGTTTTTAAACTAAAACTTTTTTTAAAAAATCAAATGTTGTATTATGGTTACAAGTATATAATACTTCAACTTCAAATGTTGTCATTTTTCTTGCAGGATTTGATAGTTTAAAAATATTGATAGTTATGAATTTGACAATTTCTATTTCATTTATGTACATATCACAGTAGAGAATTACACAGAAATCTAATTTTGATATATATATATATATTTATCAGCATGTTTTAACAAGTAGTTATTTGTAATTTGTATTTTTTTACATTACTGCATACATGTTACTAAACCTTCACATAGAAGGTGTGAAGTAGCTTTTAGTCTGGAAAACTGGCAGTTTTTGTTGACAATAGTGGTATTGAATGGATTATTGCTTGCTTTAATTTGAAAGCAGCTCCAAATCTCTCTCTCTTTTGCACTTGCAGTGTATCTTTATTTTGTAATTCAATAATAATAATAATAATAATAATAATAATAATAATAATAATAATAATGTGTAAGATAATTGATATTTTCACCCACTGAAAATCTTATGCCTCTTTGTGTAATTCACAAATCTGAATGTAGAAAGTTAATTGCAAATTAATCCCTTTGAGAGCTAGACTAACAAATGTACTTAACATTTCAGTTTATCTTTATTAGAAGAATTTGACTGCAGCTGTAATGAACTGGAGTCTCTACCTCCCACCACTGGCTATCTACACAGTCTCCGAACTTTAGCTGTAGATGAAAACTTCCTGAGTGAACTTCCCAGAGAAGTAAGGATTTGTTGGGAAATATAATCTACTTCAGTAATGCCTACTCTTCATCTAAAATATTTTTTTTCATTTGTAACATTATTAAAAGGTATCAGGATTGTGTGCTTTAGGCATTGATTGGATGGGAAATGACAGTATCAAAAATCCAGGTAGAGTTTGAACTATTCTAGTTTGCAATAGCCAGATTTAATTATAAGTGTATTGATGACTCCCTCAGTCATCAAGTACTACTAAATTGCTTTCTGTCCAGAAAGAAATGCAGCAGCTAATGCATTTCAAAGGTAAAATGATAAGAGTCTCAGGAAATTTGAAGGAACTTCGTTATGATATCAAAGTAGTATTGGTCTGTAATGTGGAGAACAGTGGTTAGATGAATACTGTGTTAACAGGCAGCAAAAGCTATCCTATATAATTCCTTCTGAATAATTTATATTGCAAAAACACCCAATGGATTACTAGAGACTTTCCTTCCTTAATAGTTGAAGGACTATTAGCACCTAGCAGACCACATCCATAATCCGTAAGCATAATCAAGGAGGACCAATTTCATTTTGCTTTCAGATTTATTTTGCCTTAGTAGTAGTATTTTTGGAAAACTCTTGGCCAAATTTTTAGTTATTTATTGGGTGAGAACTTTTATTTTCAATCTTTCTAATCATGGAATCAAGGAAGCATATTTTTTATTCTGTATATGAACCTTTTGTTACTGTTTTTATTTTCACAAGAATATTTTGCAACAGAAACAACATAATTTTCAATAAAAACCCAAGTTTTCATGATTCAGATTCCATACAGTTCCTGGCTTCTATAAACGTCTGTAGCAGTCAGTGTAATCAGTTAAAGATGATTTTAAAAATCATCTTATTCTTTCCCTCCATCTTTAGCTACCTTCTTAGTCCCGCATCTTTAGCAGACATTAGAATCAACTGGCTTTCTATTATGAAAATAGTGTCTGATTCTTCCCTTTTATTAACATAGCTTGCAAGAGAGAGACCAATAGCTGGAACGCCCAATCATGAACGTATATAATTAGAAGAGTATAGTATAACTCTGATTTCTACCTTTCTGAGACCTGACACAATGACTCATTTATTGAATGAGAAGAATTATGGGCACATCCAATAGCAATCTTTTCAGTTTTAGAAGAACTTGATTTCTCCTTCCTCTTCATCATCCCTCCTCTATGACTCAAGTAAGCAGACAGTTTAACAGTTTTAAGAAGAAGAAACAGTTTTAAGTCTTGCTGGGCCAGGTTATCACTCATTTCATTCATAAGGCCCTCATTAAGAAAAAAAAAATTAGGTCTGTGTTATTATTGTATCCATGGACAATGCACCTATGATCTATGAGTGAAAAAAACATACACATCTAATAGAAAATATACTTCCACATGACTTGCATCATCTGTTATAGAGATACCTTTCATAGTGTATAGAAATCCAAGAAGCAGAACTGGCAGGGAATGTGGTTTAAAGTCTAGAGTCAGACAATGTGATCATAAGTGAACATTAGTATCCATTATTTTGCAGTAAACAGTAATAAAAATGTACTGCAGATGACTTAGAAACTAAAGAATCATCCAAAGTCTATCCTAGATGCAGTCTAAGAGAAAATTCTTCTCTTTTTTTTGTGCAGGTAAATTTTAGTGATCAAACATGATGGCTATTGCCATCTTAGTGTTTCAGAATGTTCTCATTTAATTTCAGTCATACAAAGTAAGAAACAAGATTCATTCATTGACTGCCCAGCTAATCATTGTCTCTGGTCATTTTATCTACTCAGAGTGCTCAACAAATTTCACAGCAGGAATTTCATGTTTTTGAAGACATTTCAACATACAGCTGTTAACTGGACCCATCAGTCTTCAAAAAGCAAGAAAGACATTTTTGAGATTTTTCTAAGCAGTTTCCTTTACTGTTTCCCACCTATAGACAGAATCTTCCCAAACTAAAGCAAAACACTTGCACCATAAAACATATACTCTTAAGATGTCTTAATTCTCTTTCACCCACACAAATTCTCTAAACGGTGCTGTCTCTTGCTCCTCTGGAATGCATGCCTTCCCTCCTAGAAATCTGAACAACATTCTTCCACAGGACCTAAGTAGAATGATCACATTATGTTTTTTCTTTAGTTTCAGTGGTCTTTAGCTTATTTTGGTTAAGAGACAGCCTTTGAACCAAATAGAAAGTCAGGAAAAAAATAAGTAAAGTGGGTCAGGGTTCTGCATGTCTGCTATCAGCAGGATAACTCCAAAAACTGATTCTGAGAGGACAAATATTAGTGGGGGGGGGGAGAATGAAATAGCAAAATAAGGATTGAGTTCAAACTTGATGGCTTGTGATGAAAGCTGTGGAAATAAAAATGTCTGAAAATTTTCCCCAATCTATTCTTATGGGAGAGGCAGTTTGGAAAGATGCTAGTTCGTTCATTCTCCCAGTCAAATAACACAGAGCAGAGCTGTTTTTAAGGGCTTAGAAGGATTTCCAGAAAAGACACTTTTCATTGATTTCCCTTGGGACATGGACATTTTGACCACCTTTCTTTGGTTGATTCAACATATGAGACATGATTACTGGCTACAGGAAAAAAATACTGACACAGATAGGCTTCCCGTTTATATATGTATACCATCATGCTATAACTCCATATCCATAACATGCTTCATACATTTGCTTTTTCTTTATACTTCTCTTTCTTTTTAAGATCTCTTCAGCTCTGTTCAACCACCATTTCCTTTCCACCAAAGATATTTTCTGTGATATATTTCTTTACAACTACCCTCCTAACCATTCTCTCTATATGATCCAACCACTTCCATGTACTTCTTTCTGGTTACTCCACATTCATTCAAATAAAGGCACTTGACCCTCTGTCTTCTTTTTTTTACAACACACACTTCTTAAGTAATCCATTTTCACTGGATTCAGCTTATTTTCATACTCTTGTGACAAGCCTTTCATTTCAAATAACAAAGTGGGTAAAAGAATGCTTTTATACACAGCCATTTTGCTTCTTTTGAAAGACATTCTTTTCTCTCGACAGACTGGCTATTTACCATTACTTTTCTACCAGCATTTGCTATCTTCCTATCTTTAGTAAATATTCTATCAAGGTACAGAAATTCATCTATTTGCTTTAATTTTTGCTATTTATAATACTTGCAATCATTCACTTCATTTTTCTTCTCAAATACAACTGCTTTGTTCTTTAATACATTGATTTTCAGATCTGTAGATATGCCTGATACACTCTGTAACCTGCACTATAAATCATATAAATTCTTAGCTAATAACACAGCAGTGTCTGCATACAAAAGTATAGGCACATTCATGTACCCAAGCAACCCAAGCATATATCTATGTTCACCACTTGCACTCCTTATACATTTGATCATAAATGCATGAAGCAACCAGGGAGACACCACAAAACCTTATCTTAGCCTCCTCATTCAGTTATTGAATTATTTGTTAACCATGCCACTCATGCTCATGCATGTTTTATTTCCTTCATCAATCTCCAACTCCATATACAATTCCATTCCATCAAGCTTGATTATGTTACCATATGATTTCATGATATATTGAAGAGCAAAAATTTGGTCTGCACACTCCTTGCCCAGCATAAAGCTATCCTGCATTTTCCAAATTTTTCTTATTATCTCTTCATGTGCCTTCTAACTCAAAATTTTGCTACAAATATTTCCCAGACACATTTGACAAAGTAATCCTCCTGTAGTTTTTCACATTCATTCCAAATAACCTTTTGCTTTCCTAAAGTGAACAAAGCAGCAACTTCTTATCATTGCATATGAATTTAGCCTTCATACACACATTATTCTTTACACAACTACTTTATAAGCAACTAATATCTGTCTTTTAAGATTTCTGTGGCCTTATTAGTTTTCTTCAATATTTGTGATAATAGCATTTTTTAAAAAAACTTTCTGCATACCACTCTCAGTTTTATAAAAAACTACAAATATGTCTTCCATCATTCCCTCACTTCAGTTTCATTCCAAATACATCTACTGTTTTCATTTTTAATTCCATTCACTCAGCTAGGAGCTCCTTGCTTCATTATCTTCCAAACTATTTATTTCCATCAAAATCATTTTGCATTTTTTTTCCTTTTTCTTTTAATCTTTACTGTTTCTTATACGTTTTTGTTACTTTCTTTCCAACACTGTTTCCTGATTTTCGTACTACACAATATCTTTCGTTCTCATTTTTTACAATAAATCATACATTTTGTTACCTGCAGACTGTTCCAATTCATTATTCTACCAACTATCCTTTTATAGGTTTCCCTTCAGCATAACACTAATCACTATTGTGGTTTTCTTCTTTTTAATTTGTTCCAAAAGACTCTTACCTCATCTTTCATCATGTCCACTTTTTAGTAATTTTTTGGATAAACTAATCAGTCTTCTAATACTTTTTCATAATTTTTGTGGTATTTGGCAAATCATATCCTGAGGCTACAGAACCTTTAGTCCTCTGTATAATACTTTTACGTTTTGTTAAAATATTGGGCCATTTCTCTGATGCTGACGTTTTTTAAAGTAGAGTCTCATGTTTTAGTTTTCATATATTATAATTTTACCTTTTTATAAGTGAGATTGACAAAGGGGAAAATATGAGTCAATAACCAGTTCAATTTCTTTAAAAATATTTCTAAAGGAGAGCAAGGGAATATTGGTACAGTCAATGGGTTCTACATTAAAGACCTGAAACTTATACTTAGTCTTTTAATAGTTTAGATGAAGTGTTAATTTCTTGAAAAAACAGAACAACCATCAGATATGAACAAAATTATTCAACAAATTCCAAAAAGAAATTAATCCATTGGCCTCTGAAAACATGGAGCTTCTCAAATATGTTTTGTTCTTTTCTATTCTTTCAAAGGATGCTTTCAAAAGTTGCAATGTGATATTATCTTCATATACGCATATTACTTTAGAACAGCCTTTCAGAAATCGATGCCTTCCATATGTGTTGGACCACAGCTTCTATTAACTCTATCCAGATTAGGAAAAGCTAATTAAAATAAAGGTTTTCTGAGAATTAGAAACTGATTCATGTCAAGAATCAGGATGATTATATGGTCAACACTGCTATCTAATGGATCTGAGGTACAGCAGAGTGGGAAAACTGCAAAAGCTGAGCAAGATGAAACAAGTGAAGCTTTTTATTTCTAATGATGGACTAGTTTTCAGTGTTGATTTCCTTTGGTGGCATAATCTGAGAATTGACAATCAGGGCTCTTGTTCTGCATTTGGAACATATGCATATCATCATGCCCTTCTTCTTCCATTTTTATAAATAATGTTGCAAGGTGTCTTTTGTTATTTTAATTTTTTCTAAAAAAACTTTTTTTTTCTTGTGTGATCTCTTTCTATTAACACCCACCCACTTTTGCCTCATGGCTCTACAGATTATGCATGGTGGCTATATAGACAGAGGAAAGATCTAAAAGGAGCTTCTTATGTGTCTGTAATCCTCAAAAATGTAGGTGATCATGTTCTATCCTCTTCTTCATCCTATCTATCAGTATAGATATTGGATCACTTTATTATCCATAAAAGAAACGTACAGTACCATGGAATACATAACACATTAATTAAACATTAATTAGGGACTTTTAACTGTCACTTTCAAAATGTCACTTCATAGATATATTTTATTATGAATGAAGGCAAATATACATGTTTCAGGATAATGTTGTAGGGTCCAAACTGGGACCCTGATCCAGATTGGACCCTGCAATATATTTTATTGTGAGCTGCCTAGGTAGGAATGGCATATACCCATGATGGTGAACCTATGGCACGCGTGCCACACCGAGCCATGTCTGTGGGCACGCGAGCATTGCCCTAGCTCAGCTCCAGTGCATAAGCACATGCCAGCCAGTTGATTTTCGGGCCTTCTGGGCCCACTGGAAGTCAGGAAATGGGCCGTTTCCAGCCTCCGGAAGGCCTCCGGGGGGGGGGGTAAGGGAGGCCTCCCCAGTTTTTGCCCTCCCCAGGCTCCAAGAAAGCCTCTGGAGCTTGGGGAGGGCAAAAAAGGGGCTTATCAGGCCCACCGGTAACCTTTTTGCCATCATGTGCCAAAAGCACGGATAGCGCAGGTGTGTGTGTGTGTTGCACATTGATTGCACATGATACATTTTTCATTGCTAACCTGAGTGCATATGTATATTGTCCCCATTGGTGTGAGAAAAGAACTAGGTCACAACACCTTTGAAGGATTGCAAGCAACTTAGAGGAAGTTTGCTTTTTTAAAAAGTTAATTTGGCTTGTGCATGCAAAGCAAAAATGCTTTTAAAACATGCTCCCGTAATAGGATAATAGGCACTTATGATATCACATTGTTAGAGAAATGATGTGCAAAATAAGCATATTAGGCATCTCATTCAGAGAACATAAGAGCTTTAAGCTGCTAAATTTCTTAACAGACTTTTCTAGGATGAGTATAAATGCTAATCAGGATATCCTTTCAATACTTCTGTATTTACCTTGAAGAAGGCAGGCTAAATGACAATTCGTGTGACGTTGCACAGAGACTATTAACAACAAACATAATTTCGGTTTAATTCATTTGTAACCCGAGCTATGTGGAGCAACATATAAAACTAATGAATCCAATCTGGGTTGGTCACCAGGACCAGAGGTTTTGTCTTCCGAGCTTTCAAACTCATGCTGGAGATGGGTTCCAGCATGAGTCCGAAAGTTCGGAAGACAAAATCCCTGGTCCCAGTGACCAACCCAGATTGGATCCTTGTCATGTTCCGATGCCCCACGTAAGAAAAGCCAGAACACAAGTTGATGTTAGATTGTATATCTGGAAACGCGGACCCGGCACGAAGCAACAATCCAAAAGGAATCAAAGTCTCTGCTACCGTGGTTCGTTCACCCACCCTTATGGCCTGGATGGCACAGGACCGCCATTCGGGCAGGGGAGGAAAAGACGCGCACCCACAGGCATCGGGTGGGGGAGGAGTGGACACGTGCCCATGGGCATCAATGGCCATGCCACCATGGCATCATGATGGGGAAGAGCTGCCTCCCAAGACACATGCCTACATAAGGGGCCGCTGAACTAACCACAGTAGCACAATATCCTGGGGCACATATATTTCCCTTCATTTGTGAAAGTTAATGAAATTTAATTAATTTAAAGGCATCACAATTCATGAATCCTAAACTGTTGTAGTGTCATTGAACATGTCTAACAATTGTTTTTCTTGTCTACAGATTGGCAGCTGCAAAAATGTAACCGTCATGTCCCTCCGTTCAAACAAACTGGAATTTCTTCCCGATGAAATTGGTCAAATGCAGAAACTCCGTGTCTTAAATTTGAGTGACAACAGGTAATATTTTTATTGTTTTAAATTTACTTGTTTTATGAACATCACAAGGATAGAGAACCATATGCTGTGTAAATTTCTAACATATTCTTCTTTAAAATGTTACCAGATTATCAGTTGACAGAATAACAAATATAAATTTATATTCTTTGCTCCTAGTTATTTTGCCCTCAGGAAGAACTTCTGTTTTGGAACTGTTATATTTTCCTGCTCTAGTTATTTCATTCTTATCATACATCAGCTGAGATTTTTTTAAGGAATTGATCAATGATAATCTAATCATATAATTAGAATTGAAGGAAACAAGAAGAGGCAGCAAAAACAAAACAAAAAAATCAGGTTAGGTTTGAAGTAACGGATAGTAGTTCAGTATCTACGGTACATGGTCACCTAATTGGGTGCAGTAATTCAGAAATTATTTCTGACTGCCAGTTGCTTAATGGAGTTGAATGCAAATACAAAAAAACTGGCAGAAGGAAAAGTAATCAGCACTGGATGCTTATCCAAAAAAGTTGAGAGCTCCATTTTATCGCTAAAAACAAATTTCTGAACTCATCATTTCTCAGATACACATTGCGCTCTTCTTTAATTCTCATTGGGCCTTCTTCAATTCTCTATGCTAGTACAAATCCTTGAGTCTAGCTGACATTTCTCTTGGCAGTCTGACCCCAAAAAATGAAATGAATGGATCCTCCTGTCCCAAAAAGCACCTAAAATATTTATTGCTTAGAAAACAACAAATCTTTTTCCCCTGTAGGTAAAGGAAGAAAAAACCATAAGGGATTCCTTCAAATGTAATTTTGAGAAGACACTATGACAGTTTTCATTTTGACTAGTGTATACAATTTGTAGATGTTCAAAGGTTAACTAACAAATTCTCTACAGCTTTAAACTCTTTCTTAGACGAGAGTTAAGTGTATGGCTACATTCTTCAAGCTCGTTGTAGCATCAGTATGAAAGTTAGGACACAACAAAATATGTTCTGATGTTCACATATAAAAGGTGGGCCTCTGGCCGCAATCTCTCATGAGATTTTTATTCTGTGATTGATGATTAAGGTTCAATTTTGGAGTTGAAAATTATATCCAATTCTTAAAGTAAAACTTAAGCAGTGCATAAAAGATTTCAATGGTCTTAAATAGTTGTTAGTCTTTTCAAATATTTTAGGCTTAAATGTTTTAAGTCATATTTTGAATAACATGAGGCTAAATAATATATTTTCTACAAATTAATAATAATAGAAGAGAAAGAACTTGAGAATACCACAAAATACCAAGACCTACAAATAGAAATAGAATGACTTCCCACACCCCTATGGTCATGTGATCAAAATTCAGTTATTTGGCAACTGACTCATGCAGTTGCAGTGTCCTGGAGTCATGTGATCACTTTTTATGACCTTCTAAGAAGCAAAGTTAATGGGGAAGCCAGATTCACTTAACAACCATCTAGTTAACTTAATAACTGCAGTGATTCACTTAACAAGTAAAGCAAGAAAGCATAAAATTGGGCAAAATTCACTTAATTGTTTCATTTAGGAACAGAAATCTTGGACTCAATTGTGGACGTAAATTGAGGACTACCTGTATTAGCACCAGTTCCAAAATAATAGTTTAATAAATCTAATAAATCAGAATCTCAATCTTTCATTTTTACTGTTGTACAATATCATGGAGAAAATTAATATGACAACTAATTTGAATGTATGTCTTCAAATTGTAAATAAGAAAAAAAAACCAAGCAACATCACAAAACAGATATTAGGACTAGCTGGAATCTATTCAGCCAAAAATATTTTTAAAACAGTAAAATATATTCCTATTAAATATATTAAAAACTCTATTCTTTTTAATAAAAGTGAAGTTTCTAGTTCCCAACTAATTCAAAAGTACTTGACAGTTGTTTCATATAGATGAGCAAATCATAGCTAAAATTGTCAGTAGTTTCATTTATTATTTTAACCATCTAAAGATTTAAGAAACATTTTTCATTTTAAATGAAAAAGTTAAATGAATGTTTCTGTTAAAAGATTTTTTTTTAATAATTAAAAGATATATTAAAAATTACTAAATGTTTATTGTGGAATCACTGTAAAGTGTTGTTTAAATAATTGACCAAATAATGTTGTATTCAGGAAGGATTCATTTTGTCTAAATATTTGTGTTTGTTTGTTGTTGTTTTGAAAAAAAACAGGTTAAAAAATTTACCCATCACTTTTACAAAGCTTAAAGAACTTGCAGCATTGTGGCTTTCAGACAACCAGGTATGTATTTAATATCCATTTATACATAACAACTAAACAAAAGGGGACTGGTATAGAATTCATTGTCATCATGACATCATTAAGCCATAATTTCAGATTGTGCGTTTTGGATATAGAAGTTTAAACTGTATGTTTCCCCAAATTTTTATCTATCACAGATTTTTTAGTGAATCTGCTGATGGTAAAGAACTACGGTTCTTGATAAAAGAACTGAGTATTAGGAAACTGTCTACAATATCTAGAGTTTTTGTTTCTCACAAAGTATAGGATCACTCAGATTTCTCCTCTGCAGAAGTATCCCATGTCTTTTCCTTTTTGTTGGGAGAACTCCAACAGGAAAGATGGGGGAATGGAACATGACAAGGAGATTAGAGGATGTTTTTATTTCATAGATAGGACACAAACATCTACTCAACATGAATAAAAAGGTTTAGCCCAACCTGCAGAAAAAAACAGCATCCCTTCTATTTATTTATATAAACCATTCACTTAGATACAAGTTATATCTAAGTTTCCACTGTGAAACTTTTTTTTTGAGTAAGCATGCAAAAAAGTTGACTTTTTCATGCAAATAGAAAAAGTTTCTTAGGTTCTAAGCCCCCAATAATTGTGCTCAGATATCTTTTCCCCTAAAGTGTCAGACTAAGTGAGACAAGTTTTTTTCACAGTGTCTTTTCCTGTTCAGATAAATGTAAAAATCTTCTGATGGAGTGGTTGCCTTTCATAAAATCACCAAGTTTGCACATTGTACTAAGCCAGGAAGAGTGAGTTGGAGCATCACACTAATTAAAAGCAAATCATATTGTGATTTAGTATTTTGTATGAAGCGAGGCACTATGAAGATGTTTCAAACAAGAAGAAGCTCAAGACCTGTTTGATATTATCCTATCCCTACTCTACCCTTCAAAAATGATACTGCATTTTTTTCTCTGATTTAAGTGAGCTAAGCAGAGATACTATAAGAAAGGATATACTGCGTATGTAAAACTTGTGTGTGTGTGTGTGTGTGTGTGTGTGTGTGTGTGTGTGTATTTCATGTGTGCTTCTGAATTGTATCCGTAATTTTAAAGACAACATAATTTCCTTTCTGTATCAAAACAGTATGGCAACATAACAAACAGTACATAAATCACAATAGTGCGTTATCATTTGTTGTTTGTAGATGTTACAGAGGTCATAATGCAATACAATTTTGTACCTGAATATTGTTTTAGCAGGTTTTCATTTTAAATAAAGGTTATTACCAGTACCCTTTGTAACAAAACACTACTGTTAGCATTCATAATATTTTTAATACCATAATTTAATTTGTTTCATTGTCACTTTTTTCCTCATGAGATAGAATGTTATATATTGTGTGTGTGCGTTTTTCTTTAATTTACAGTCTAAGGCTCTGATTCCTCTTCAAACTGAAGCGCATCCAGAAACAAAGCAAAGAGTATTAACTAACTACATGTTTCCTCAGCAACCTCGTGGTGATGAAGGTAAAATTATTAACCAGTTTTTCTAAACGCACAAAATAACACAATGGTTATTTAATATCCAAAAGTAAGTAGAAATCTTATTAATAATTCTGTTGTTTTTATCACTGTAATATCATTGAAATCATTTATGTATTTCTGAAGCAATTTCAGGAAGGCATGCCTTGTTTAGTTTTACAGATTTCCTGGCCAATTTATCTTAGATTAGCATTTGCTTTCTGCAGTCAGAATTATGTCCCAAAGCCAGAGTGTTACAGAAAATAGAACCTGCACAGATTTAGAAATAACAGATCTCACTATCAAAATAATTCTATATTTAGGATGGCAAGTCTTAGGCTGTGTATTATATTGTCATAATTGTGGGG